GGAATCATAGCCACTGCTTTGACGCGATGTAAGTATTGCACAAAGGTGACCGAAGTTCAAGTATTGATCTATTCCCTCCTCTAGCAACTCATTGATTGGCAGAAACAACTTCGATAAAGCTTCGGAATGGAGAGCGGGAGTCAGACTGGACGAAGTCGCCACCATGCCCGGATTGGGGGGTGCAGCCTTCATCGATAGAAGAGCACCCGCCCAAGGACCGAATTCACCAACACCTTACGTTCAGCTCTACTGTCAAGAGAAGGTGCCGACGTATGCCCCCTGGGGGAACAAGGCCAGAGGAGCCCAGGACCTCGATGCGATGCCTGCACGGAGACTTCCTATGAAGCACTTGCTGGATTGCAGTGCCGACCTCGACGGTCCACGGGAGAAGTGGATAGCTGCGGAAGGGAGGATCCTGGACGAAGCGAGAAAGGATCCTCATAGATCCTTCCCAGCGCGTATGGAAGTCCGTGCCGGTCTAAACAACCTCCTGGAAACGATCCATAACATTCTGGTGGCTGTAAGCCGCGCGACCAAAACGGAGAAAGAGGCACACACAGAAAAGCAAGCTTTGCGGCACTACGACAAGGGCGACTGGTTTCGGTGGAAGAAGCTGCGAGCCGAGTACATCGTCCGCCTTCCCGGAATCATCATAGGGAAACGCCAGGCGAGACCGTCCGACTGGATGATGGTCCATGTACTCCTGGCTTGTCAGGGCTTCATGCACGGCCTACACTCGCGAATTCCCGACATCACCATCGAAAGAGACACGGTCAATATGCATTGCATGTACTTGCAATTAGGCGCCAACATTGCCGGTCAGACCTATCGATACGTGGATAGGTCTATCTCCTTACGTGAACGAGCGCTAGGAGATGAATACCGACCATTCTTCCCAGCCGGCTTCAGAACCTTGCACGAGTTCTTCGACTCTATGACCGGGTTATCATACTCCCAGTTCGAGCGTAGAATGCAAGGGATGTCCAACGCCCGAGAGAAGTGGGAACTAAAGGTTCGCCGGGGAGTTGGATGCACAGTACCCTCAGGAATGGAAAAGTTGCGTACCATGGTCACATATCCGAGTGTTCAAACCCAAGCCGCTCTGTCTGGCGCACCTTCCCAAGTCACCGCTATACCGCGACCGGTCAACGGAAATCCTGCAACACCAACGGCTTTTATTCAGCAAGATTCCTCTTATATCCATTTGGAGGAGATAGTCACCCAGCAGATGGCTCTCCTATCGGAAGGCACGCTAGTTATACGCAAGAAACAGCACCGGGAACTCGAGGTTTATTCGGAGGAACACGAGATTCTGGATATCCCTTATGTGATCTTGCAATTCGGAAGATCCCTCGGTTTACTGGAACACGCTGAAGAGGCGCTACGACTTCACCACCTGCAGAAATCACAGGAAGAAGACGGCTGTGTGCTCGAACTCGGTCCTGACGGCAGGGTACAGATACAGGTTCCCGACGGAGCGACGCCCCTGGTCAACGGCTCCCAGTCTGTCCTGAGCGCCGGAGGTCTAGACGTGTACAATTTCCAGCGAAATACACCGGCGACAGCCTTACGCACGGAGTATGCCATTCGTTCACTGGACGTTCGCTGGGAAGTTGCATACGAATCGCGACTCGGACTGAGCCTCCCCGGCCTATCCCTACCGCAAATTCTTTTTGACGTTCCTCTCCCCTCGGGCACGACAAGCGATGATATTGCAGACGACGCCTTGTTTCACGATTGGCTGCGTAGAATAGAGGACTCTGGTTTACTCTTCGCGAAGGTTCCATCCATCAATGACTACGTGGTGTTCCTTTTCTCGAGCTTTCAGCAGCAGCTTCTCAATGCAATACCAAAAACGATACGCGCCAACAACCACTTCCCCGAGCATGAAGGTCGACCCTACATTAAGTCGATGTTGGAAGCAGAGCTCTCTGTATCGCAAAACCTTCTGCGCGATTCCTATGTCGGCCTCCCTGCTCGGCTTACTCGGTTCGTTGCGACCCAAGTGTCGGCCCAACGTTGGGAATCATATTCATCCATGTTTTTCCCGCGAACAGTGGAAGAATGGGAGGCTCATCCTGGCTGGGTGGAAAGTCATCTTACATATCTCGACACCTGGGGCGGCCTTCTAGAGCGGGTCGAACCTTTGCCCAACGCCACGGAAATACAGGGTCAGTTGCAGGTGGCATCAAAAACCTTTATAGAATCGCACAAGATCCTCCCTCACCTAACGGGCAAGATATACAACTACTTTCGGAACAAAGGACCTCACAACGGGCCTGTTTCAATTTGGGATGATGCGGCATTCGAGAAGCAGAAAGACACCAGCATCGCCGGCTTCAGACCGAGGTGGATGACCATCAACCATGGGGATAGAGTCTCCAGTAGGCTTCGGCTTGTGTATACAATGACCGCTCCTGCTCAACAACTCTACTTGGGCAAGTGGCAAGGAGACATAGTCATCAAGGAAAAAAAGCACAATTACGCCGTGCTGTTTCCTTCTCCAGCGCCGTTTGAGTATCCATGGATGAAGCAAAACCACCATACCATCATTTCGGAGCGAGGGTACATGATATGGAAAGAGCAGGTCAAGGCAGATCGTTTCAATCCTCCCTCGAAGGAGCCGGGAATCGGTCACAACTGGTGGGACTCGAGTCACAGTACGATAACCTGTCCTGTCTGCCGAACATGGAACCTGTTGAACCCACCTGCCCTTGACGACGGCAATCCCTCAATATTAGATGTTCAGAAGTACAACTTGGGTGGGCGATGTTGGGGCTACTTCGCATGTCGGTCAGTACCTCTGTTTTCTGTTCGCATCGTCCGCATGCTCATTCTGCTTCAATCTCCAGGGCATCACTGGACGCTGCCACGCTACCGATGGTCAAGAGAACACTTCCAGCCAAACGACTCCGGGTTTCTCCTGTTGATCGTTCGGGCCGGCCATCAATGTCAGCAGGACTTAATTACTCAAGATACTCCGGGTGGTAGTCGAATAGGTTGTACAAGTACAATACAATAGTATGATACAATCTTGTGGGTTGACAGTGTGAACTAGATACAGCTATGTGTAATGTTAGACATGGCAGAGAGGCGGTCCATGGCGTCATAATTGACCAAGTACGAAATACGCCTAAGTTGTTCCCGCATGCTGTCACGGACCACTTGGAGCGATGTCAAATGTTAGACATGACAGAGAACCTGTCCGCGTGATCAATTTCTTTTCTCTAAGTACGACAATCTCTGGATACAGCAGAGACGCAAAATACCAAAAGTAAAAGTAACACATATGAACATCACTTGAAGCCAACATGTCCCACAATTTGGGGGTGCCCCTCACCCTACTCGACCTTATAACTGGCAGTGATACTCTTCGTGTCTGGTCCAGTCCCGTGGTATTCTATGCCTGACTGGAGCTTGTGTACGCATATGATAAGCCGTTTGCCCCTATACATGTACGGCATTACGCATGAAAACACACCATCAGCATCCTGATTCCGCACTCGCCTCATCCTCCCAACCGCAGCGTCCAAGGCCTCCGGCCCCTCGTTCTTGGTTCGATTGTAGTTGCATTGTCTTTGCTGGCCCTTGTACCACTCTTGGAATGCTGCTTCACTCTCGAATTGTATATCATGTGGTTCCCCTACGTCCACATCGGGTCCTGCGGGGTCGATTGGTATCGCTATGAGCAAGTGTTCATGTAAAGGTGGAACTTGTATGTCGCTCATGATGATAAATCGATGACAATCTCCGGACGGTGTAAGCGCACTATGCCTAAGCCTTGTGTACAATGTGCGATATTGTCGATGCTGTAGACCCGAAAAAATAGATTAGTGGCATGGTGGTGTTTCCGGCGAGCCTTTTGACAATAAGGTTCATGGTGGTGTACGAACAACGCGAAAGCTGGACCGATGCCCTAACCCTATCTCCCTTGACGCTTTCCACCTAGATCTCTAATCCCTAACCCCTAGCCCCTTGAGCGACACTTGATCAATAACCCCTACTCCGTCCGTGCAGAGTCCCGCTCCGAGTCAACCGTCCGCAAGGAGCCTGACGAATCAGTGTGTGATGAGTCACCGTTATGGGTTCTCGCATGGGTGTCGTACATACCGTTAACCAACGATGATCTCCGCTAAGATACCAACCTCGGCGCAATGTTTCGTCCCCGCGGGCAGGAATAGCTGGTTGGTAACTAGATGACGCGGTCTCCGGTGAGCCTTTTGTTTCACCGCAGTACAGCCACAATACGAACAAGCAGGCAAACAGCACACGCAGCCGCAGATGGTAGGAAGGCAAGGGTAATACCTGACGACATGACGAGTTGAGTGATATCAGCGGCTGGCGCATATGCTGTGATACTGACCGGAACTCACGACCACAGGCAAAACACTCGACTCAAGCTCCAACCGGGCAGACACACGAAACGACAAGCAAGGCGAAGAAGGGCGGGGAAAATTCAAGACCGCCTAGATAGTTGCGACACTGGGTCAGATGACTGAGATATCATGGAGGAAGGGCTGCTTACCGAGGGTGGGTCCTGCCGATAGCGAGGTACCAGACGCAAATGAACGGACGTTTCGAGCGTGGGCCGTGGGGACGCTGGACGCCACAGTGAACAGTGAAGACCAGCGAGGCGACGAGATGCTGAACAGAGGGTGTTTGGTCTATGGGAAGCTGATAGGAGGGCGATGTAGCGCAATCAGGACATGGATGGTTGGGTGAATGGTCGAACGGTCAGAAATGTGGGACGCGTTGGGTGAGCTGTTCGGTCGAACAGGGTGCGCCCGCTGCATGCGCTTGCTGGCTGTTCGAGAGGAAATAAGCTCCCCCCCGAAGAGGAGTTTACAAATGTTTACCACGCTACACGCGGAAAATCACATCTTCCAATGCCATTTACATCGCGTAAAATCGCACTAATCCCGCTGTGATCTTGGCTAACTTTGAAGCCTCGTGTTGTCTCTTTGTGTATTGTATTAAATAATTGCTTCCGCTCGCACAACTGCTGATTGATGTAGTGGTTAGCATATCAGATTCTGACGCAATATTCAGCGTTCTGGATACCGGGGTTCGAATCCCCGATCGGCATGCCTACTTCTTTTTGCGATTTATTTCTTGGTGCGATTCCTGTCCCTTTTTTGTTTGGTTCGTATCATCCAAGTGAAGGGATGGTCGACGATACCGACCGCCACAACTGGGTGGAATGGTGTCCATACTCTGCTTGCCGCCAGCAAGAAACTTTTTTCCGTCTCGAGGCAGCGTCGAGCACTTGGACACGCGCTTCATTGGTATCATAGGGGGGGGGGGAGACCGGCTATGCATGTCTATCACGTAGTCTCTTACTAGGGGCACCTGGAAGGTTTTGCTTTTTGCCGACCAACTATATCCTACATGGGTCATGGGACCATTCGCTTGAGTACCAATGAATCATCTTGTGAAACAAGGACCCGCTACCCTTACGCCATCCGAAACAAGTGTCATCGACCGTCTATGATTGCTAAAGTAAGTGAATATTACATGAAGACCTGTGTAGCTCCGAGCCATTAGAAGTTTAACAAGGTTAAGGAAGCAAGTATACAACATCGACAAGTTCTGACTTATTGTACCGGAAGGAACGTGTAAGGCACGCGGTCTTCGTATTACTTTGGTTCCGATAACCCCTAGACACTAACCAGCTTAGTTAATAAGGCTGATGTTACAGAAGAAGTTGAATATCAAGACTCAGGATAATTGCTGAATGGTTACAGAATTAGGCTGTTACACATGGCACTAGGGTTCGTGTGATAATGTTATCTACGACTAGCGGTGTTGTGTAAGATGGTTGTCTTAGTGGTGGAAGTGTTGATGAGGGTAAAAGGCTGAGTACAAAGTTGGTACGAAGCCAGTGGCGCTTCTAGTATCTCTGATAAAGCGTGTCATAATAGGTCATAGAAGCAAATGCTACAACTGAATCGGACTGCTATGTATACACGTTTTAGGGGCATAACTAGTATCGCTAGAGGAGCACAAAACGTTTAGCTCCAGGTGCATTCCTCCTTACGCAGGGTTCGCAGATTCGGTAAGCGCAGCAAGCGCCCTGGCAAAGTAGGCAGCAGAACGGCCTGTATGATTCCGTAGGGTATTGCTGGTGACGTGTATAACGTAGTCATAAGAAATCGTTGGTAATCACTGACGGGCTTGAGCACGGTGAGCGGTAGCTCAGCAGCGGTGAGGATCGTGAGTCAGCTTGGCTTCTGTGTCAAGTTACAACATTTCCTGTTTTAGACTACATGGCCTGCCAGACTCGGAAGAGACGGCGATGGCAGCCATAGGTGTGGAAGGCCGTAGTCAGGAGGACTGTTCCTGAGTTGTCGGTCTCCTTACAGCACGAGTATCTATCAGCTTAGAGAAATTTTATTGGACGATAACACTCGTCTGCTATCCTCTGTGCGGTCCTATCCAAAATGCAGATTATTACGAAGAGGGTGATACTCGAGAAGATGATGGAGGCGAGACATAAATTGGGATAAAGAAAAACAGAGCGGGCTGCAAGTAAGCAGACCGTGCACACCACCCCTTCAGCTCATCACTCGCTCGAATATGTCATTGGCACTTATGGTTACGGGTTAACCTCAGATTTAGCCGCTTCTTGTATCCAGGATGGCATCCCTGTCGTGTACTGCGACATGACGGAAGAGGGTAAGCTCTGTCGAAACATGGACAGGCAGATGATAGAGCCCTCTTACGCTTTGCAACAAGAAAGTCAATACGGTCGCTATCTATGTATCCCATCGAGCCCGCTTCAAACTACATCAATTAAGCATGCAAGGACGTTCCCGTCGGAAGCTGCAATTATCAGGGATGGAGTATGAGAGAACTCTGGTGACAGACACGAACCTTCTAAGACGGGAACTAAGGCTGAGATATGAGACTGTGGATTCGAACCACGTGATCAGCAGTGTAATATTGAAGGTGACATATGTTCTTGCTCTGAAAGGGCAGACAGAAATAGAACAAGGTGACCAGGGGTGAAATTCCTCTGCTTATATAGACGTTGTGCTCCTAGGGAAGGCTTACCTGTGGAAAATTCTCCTAGGGTAGCTTTAGAATGAGTGGCGCTTACTTGGAGTAGAGGTGCACTCTTGCCAGGCACCCAACGCTGGTTATTAGACGCGAAGCGCTTCATGCTAAACGTTGAATGTCTACTGTCAGACGTTAGCCTTCATTCAAGACCAGTCCTCGATCGCATGGAAGCTTTCTCCGATGGTGGACGACTGAGAGAGCCTAGAAGCCCGTACTTGAGCGGAAGGGTGACTGGTCGGCCAATGACTGAATCGATCGTTGACTTTAATAAGATCGATGGTGAAAGTGGTGGCAAATCTTGGTGGCGAAAGTAGTCGGCCATCAAGTCCTGATGTTGCCACAAGATAATAACGGACACCAAGATGATACTGTCCCGGAATCATAGAAGAATCGGAAGGATGAAAGATTGCTGTTCATGACAGCGATCAGATTGCGCTTGATGAGTCGGAGGGGGAAAACTTCCAATACGACGACAATCGTCTGTGTCATGTCGTTTAAAATCACAGTCTCCCCTCTTATCAACACTCTGGGAATTATGGACGTTTCTCGAAATGAAGGCTTACCAGCTATCTTATCATACGCTTCACTCTTCAGAGAGTAGAATTTTCGTGAAGAAATCGGCAGATTTGTCTTTCCATGAGGCGGTCCCTACCCTGTCAACGCGCATGAACTCGCCACTGTAGCGATGATCTTATCTCCACGAATAAAACGCCAGTCAGACGGCTGCCCGTACGGCCTTTCAGACGATAATATTCGTCACGGCTGGGATTTTTCTGACAACTGTCGCTATGCCATAGTTATCAATGGTACACACATGTGAGACCTCTTGCTTCAACAGCGGTGGCTCGAGGTATGGGCCGATTTGTAACATCGGCAGAGCTTTCAAATTGAAGTGACTGACGTCGGTGTGTGCCTACACCATTAATTGCAATGAGATCGGGCAGATGAAAAGCAAGACTTGAGTCAGACCTCAAAAGGTAAGTGGAAGACTGGCAAAACGCCAGTGGTGAGAAGACAAAAAAGACAAAAAGAGTAAAAGAAGTAATGCCGATCGGGGATTCGAACCCCGGTATCCAGAACGCTGAATATTGCGTCAGAATCTGATATGCTAACCACTACATCAATCAGCAGGTTGATGTTAGCAACACGACTTTAATAGTCATGGCATTTATATTGTAAATGTCTTTCCTGTCGATCGAGTCCGTGGGCCTTCTCCGTTCCCTTTCCTGTTGGTTCCTTCGCTCGCTATGTTAGAGACTGTCCACTTAGTAGCCAAGACGACGGTATCCATACAGCTACCGCTGTTTCGTAACGGCATGAAAAGGGGGCAGCATCTGCAAACCATGGTTCGAAATAACCCCCAACAACCTTGCGAGCGGCGACTCAGTGAACCGACTATCGTTGTATCCGTCTCAAAGTCGTCGCTTGACAGCTGGCTCAACTCCGTCCACCTTTTTCTCAATAACGAGCCCCATCGAAACTTGTGACCTTCTACGGGACTAAAACAGCTACTAGGACTAGGGACACATACGTACATGCCACAAACAGCCCAGCAACCAGACTTCATGATCGAAATGCCTTCGAAAATAGCCGCAGGTCGACTGCCTTCCGTCCACCTTATCCTCGCCCTTGACCGTTTTGCGCGAGTACAGCATCGACTTGTTGGAGCTCTTGTTGGTTTCATATCTGTTCCTCCACGTCTCGCTTGCTGCCTACCGAAAGCCCGATTAGGCATTCACAACTCGATGTTGTTTTGCAAGGTAACCGACCGGATACAGCAAGTCAATGGGAAAGCTAATCAAAACGATGCTGGCTGATGTCTGGAATCGCTGCGACCGCTTTAGTCGATTTCGAGAGCCATTCGATACATAAGGAAACAGAAAATGCTGCGTTTTTTTCGCCTCTCTACAGCTCATATTCTAAGTCCATTCTCACCGTTCAGGCTTGTCTGACATTTACCTCACTCGAGAATGCTATCCTGCGTCTTCGCCTTACTTGCGCTTCTCTCAGGACATGGCGCACCCCTCCGAGCATTCGCTCACGACGACTCCAAGATATCGAGCCGAATGCAAGAGTTTGTCGCAGACCAACGACCAATCTCCAGCAACTTTGCGCACCCGATGGAAAACAGCCGGAAATGGGGTACTACGACGCCAAAGCTTAAGAATGGGATGGTCCGTGTGCAGAGGCACGATAGGCGGGTAAGTAATGGTCTATCTGTGCGCCTGAACAAAAGTGACCGACAAACACGGCTTTTCTAGCAAGCAAGTGCAGTGTTTAGCCCCACAGCAACCCAGTCATCAACCTCGGCCTCTTCCACTCCGACCCCAGGCCAGGTAGATACGAGCGTATACAAAGCCGGCCTCGGGTGGACCTCAGACTCGGGAACTCAATGGAATGATTTCACACGGGGTTCATCGTCCACGGTCGCAAAGAGGGACGGAGGTGGTGATTTGGTGTCCAAGCGAATGACAGGAAGCGTTATCGGATGGCAAGTGCGCATATCTTCTGCCAGTCGCGCCTGCTCCTTACTTAAATATTACAACCCATTCGCAGGACGTACGACTGGAACTCCCACATCGTTCCAGGGACCCCGTTGGATCAACTCGACTTTGTACCGATGGCATGGGGAACCGGCAGTGTTGACGGATTCGCCGCTGATTCCTCCAACTTTGACGCCATCGGAGTCAGCCACTTGCTAAGCTTCAATGAACCGGATGTAAGTCGCTCGCCAAATTGCCGATGCATTCAGCATGTTCATGTTCCTGATATTTGTCCTGATGCATAGCAATCGTTGGATGTCGGTGGTTCTGGTATCAGCCCATCCGATGGTGCAGCGTACCATCAACGCATCTTCAACATAACCATGGCAGCCAAGTACAGGATCGGTTCGCCCGCTGTCGCAAGAGGAAGTAAATGGTGGATGGAGGTGAGTGGTGATGAAAGCGCTACGGAATGCATGTTTACCAACGACTTGATCTCCATCCTACAGCAATGGGTCACAGCGTGCGCCGGTGCTTGTGCTTA